CCCATGGTTTTCTTGCCAACTGCGAAACATGTATATATTTTTGGCGACTGTATTGTAGAGTCTCGTATATGTGTGAGCTTTTGCCAGACTTGTGCTCAGTGACTACTTCTCACGCAACTATTTCTCTTGCAAGTAGATTTTGGCAGTTTGGACCGGAAACCGAGAATTGGGCAGCGGCTGCTGGCTGGGCTGTGGCGGCTGCGGCGCTGTGACGGTTTGAGGCGGCGCGGCGGCTGAGGTCGCTGTGGCGGCTGGCTGGCAGCTGTGACCATCTGTATGAATTGCGGAAAAAACTGTATGTTACGAAAGCCAGCCTTCGTAGAAGGCGCTAGCGGAGTTGTGTCTGGCGAACGAAGTGAGTAGTTAGGGGGTCTGGGGGGGTGGCCCGAGAAAGGTATACGTCAACTCAGCACATGCTGGGGGAGGAGGGTGCTCCGAGGGAAGGTTTTTTGAGGTTGTGTTTGAGGTGATTTTTGAGGGGTGGTGATGCAAGAAATGCCAAATGCATCATTTGCATCATCTGAATGGAAAGGTGTAGTTGGCACCTTGCAAGGTAGAGAGACCTAGGGTAGCTATAGTGCAGCTACCAGGTATAATACTTCAAGTTCCCTTTCCGTCAACCGCTTGAGAACCTCTACACACGCACAGCAATCCACAGCCTTGAAGTCTCATTCGTGCTTTGAACTTGTATAGGTGTGTAAGAGGTATAGCAACATACTATTTATACGGACCCAGGGTAGCTACAAGTAGCTACAGTTCTGGTATGGCGCGCATGAGGCTTCAAAGCTATGGTTTTCAAGCTAAAGTCAAGGTGGCCTGAGACCAGGGTTTGCTGCCCTAAAACACTCTGTTCAGGCCACCTTGAAAAAAAAAGGTGTAGTTGGCACCTTGCCAGGTATGGACACCCAGGGTAGCTATGTAGCTGTGGTTTTCAAGCTCAATTCAAGGTGGCCTGAGACCACAGTTTGCTGCCCTAAAACACTCTGTTCAGGCCACCTTGAAAATAAAGGTGTAGTCGGCACCTTGCCAGGTATAGACACCCAGGGTAGCTATGTAGCTGTGGTTTTCAAGCTACATTCAAGGTGGCCTGAGACCACGGTTTGCTGCCCTAAAACACTCTGTTCAGGCCACCTTGAAAATAAAGGTCTTGTAGCTACAATTCTGTTCGCAGGTATGGCGCGCATCAGGCTTCACAGACAGTGGAAATAGTTTCCTCCCGGCTTTGCACTGCGAATCAGCCCCACAAAAGCGCTGGCTTTCGTTTTGCAGCTTCTCAGGTATGTATGGATTTGCGTTGACATGTCTTGTGCTTGGCGGTCAGCGCCTCGTCTGTACACGCGCAAGGTGACTCGTCTGTACACGCGCGTGAGATGCCTCGTCTGTACACGCGGATGTGCTGCCTCAACCTCACTCTCACTCTCACTGACTCACACTCACTCACTCTCTCACTCACTCTCTCTCTCTTCACTCACTCCCTCATTCACTCACTCACGCACTGACTCACTCACTGACTCACTCACTGACTCACTCACTCCTTCTTTCATTCATTCATTCATTCATTCATTCATTCTTTCACTCATTCATTCATTAACGTGGCCACTTACTTACTTCTTTCTTTGCTGACTTAGTCACTCATGCCTTCACATTTAGAGAAGGATGTTGCCATTTCAACTTGACTCACCCTTTTGTGG